CGTTGTCTTAAAATCTCATGCGAATGAAATGTTTCATATGAAATATATGTATTCGCATTCTTAATACCATTGATTTAATTGAATTAATTGATTTATGGGACAGCTTCGAGAAGCCAATTCCGCTTTTAATATGTAAATAATTTATTATTACAATTTTGATAAATACTAAATGACCTTTAATTTAAGTCAATTAAGTGTATATATAATAAATAGCTATTGACTTAGTTCTAATCCATATTAAATGCCATTAAGCTCACATATGTTTGCATATTAAAGTTGAATTCAGTCTGCATCTGATTTGTAAATAAATTCATGGCAATAAACATGTTCAATAAGAATTGGTTAAATGGACTTCATAAATTATATAAAATAAAAAATTAAAAATAAATAAAATAAAATAAATAAATCACATATAGACATATACATAAATATATATTAATAGGTATATGTGTGTATGCATTAAAATAAAAATAAAATTAAAATTAAATTAAAGAAATAAAAAATTATTTATTATTATGTCATAATAAAATAAAAATAAAATTAAAATAAAATTAAAATAAACATAAAATGAAAATAAATAAATAAATAATTCGTTGTTGATATATTTATACAGATGAAGGATATTTAAAAAAAATCTGGACATATCTTTATATTTATATAAAGACATTATTCATAAACTGGTTTAAAGAAATAATAAATAATAATAATTCCATACCTATTACCATAATGATAATAAAAATAATTTTAATATAAACAAATTTGTGCTGATACCTCTGTCTTCGTTATAAATATACCAACTTTTGTTAATGTATAAGAAGTATATTTAATATATATTATTATATATAAGTATATTTAATATATATTATTCAAATCGGCTGGCCTGTTCGTATTCATTTGGCTACTTGCGTCACATCAACTCTTATTATTATTATTTTGTTTTTTTTTTTTTGCTTTTTTGTTTTTCCTTTTTTTTCGTTTGTTATAAATTACAATTATGCAACCACTTTGGCTTATCGCTGAGTGGATTTTAGGCCGCATTCTCAAGGCATTTATAAGCCAACTAGGCGCATTTCCGCTCGCACACTCGCTTTCAACTTTAAGCTCACTTTATTAAGTCAACTCAACGCGACGCGACTTGACTCGACTCGATTCAGCTCGGCGCGGAATTTCAACTTAATAAGCACAGCAACAACAACAACAACAACAGGAACAGGCGGCAAATGGCGCTATTTAAATGCTAAACAACTCTATTAAGTTGCACGACACACACATACACACACACGCATACACACACGCAACACACACACATACACACAAATACATTTACCAGCCAAGGACAGATTTAGCTTCAGTATTTTTTTTTGTCGCTCGAAGTTTAGCGCTTGAACTGGAACTGTGGCTCGGGCTGGGGCTGGTGTGGGGTGGGGGTGTTTAGGCAGAAATGGAACCTCAGCACGTTTCAAATACAATTTACAATAAATAAAATTTAAAAGCGAGAAAAAATGCTGCGACAACAGCAGCAGCAGCAACGGCAGCAGCGGCAACGCAGCGCAGCAACTGAAGACAGACACCGAATCGCGTCGGACTTAATGCCGCCTAACGGTGAATGGAAAGTGAAGGCCAGAAATGGGAAGTGGGCACGTGATGCTTGGCACAAGAAACACGAAACACGCGACAAAAGGATGGGCTGCAGTACACCGAATAGTGTATGCTCTAACGAGGAAACTGAAAGAGATTCAGAGAAAAATAATTGAAAATAATTAATGTAAAATAAAAATTAAAAACAAAATTCTGTGACCTTTAAACATGTTATAATAATTATTGATGATATATGAAGAAAATTAAATTAAAAATGTTGTTTAGGATAAAAAAAAAGTCTCGTTTAATTCCGTATGAAAAAAACTATATTTAATTAAGAGATGTACATACATAGGTAATTCTGTAAGATTAAAAAAAAAAAAAAAAACACATGTTTGTTTAAGAGATATACATAGGTAATTCCTTATAATAATAAAAATATATATATATACTTGTTTAGGATATGTAGGTGTGCATCAGAGAGTACTTAGCAGAGAGCCAAGAATCGGGAAATGGCAGTTATGTTATTAGCATAGTTATGTTATTAGCATAGTTATGTTATAAGTATAGTTATGTTAATAGCATAACACATTTAGAAAAGACCATAAAATGTTTAGTATAGTTTCAATAATTTCTGTGTAAAAAAAAATAGATAAAAAATAAAGGAAAAAATCTGTTGCTCCTGCTATTTTAAATTTTTGGTACCCGACGCTATTAAATATTTATAAATAATATAATATTATAATAAATATATTTAAAAATGTTCATTTAAATTACCTAAATATATTTATTTATATTATATATTCATATCCATATATTTAACGAATAAAATAAATATTAAAAAATAAAACCCTTCATTTACTTATTTTTTTATTTTCACTTTGTTACATTATTATTATTATTCTGTTTTTCTTCTTTTTTTCTTGGAAAATTCGTGAAAATGTTACTCTAACTTAAGCAAATACTCGAATAAATTTCCTGCCAGCCTTTACATATAGGGAAATTGAAATAACTGCAATTGAATTGGCACTCTGGGCATGAAGGGAGTGGATGGGGTGGGGGGAGTGGAGGTTGCCAAGAGGAATGTGGATTGCGGGAATGTTATCTTACCTTTCTCGGGTATCACGTTGACGACGGTGTCCTCGCGTATATCTTCCAGCAGCTCCTCATGATTTTGCATTTCCGCTTTAAGATGTGAAAGAAAGAGAGAGAGAGAGATAGAGATAGTGTGAGTGAGTAAGTGAGTGAGTGTTAAAGAGTTACATTACATTTTACAGATATTACGTAGTTAATTTGAGTTCGCGTTGCTCTGGCGGAAATTCAATTTGTGGTTTAAGCATTGAGCACTTGCCATCAATATGCGCGGATAAACAGGTTGCACGGCAACCGCCAAAAAGAACCACACAAACATACAGCTACCCACATAGTTAGCTAGTGGGCGTGGCTGGCTGGCTGGCGGGCTTCGTACATACATATTTCCAATTCCTTCTTTACGAGCAGCTCGCTGTAATTTTCAGCAACCGCAAAATGAAGTTCTGCACCAAATGCACAATTTGACTTTTGTGCAGCAGCTGCCAGTCCCACAGGGGAGCCTCCCAGCCCCACCCGCTCAGGGTGCGCCACCAGCTAACGGATAACAGGCAACGATGCCTCATCAAATATTTAGTAAATGCTGCCAGGTGTGCAAATGGATTTACGCTCACGCACCGCCAGTTGAATTTGGATTTGCGTTAACCGATTAGCGTTTTTATTAGCCAATATTATTAGAATGCCGTTACACTAACAGAGCTAATTGCTTACATAAGGTAAGGGACATTTATCGATATTATATGTATATAAAATATCGATTAATTGATAATTGCCAAGCGGATATCACGGTTGACAGCAAGATGAGTGTGTGCGACTGGCAGACACCCTGTACGGGCACATCTCAGCACATTAATGCATATGCGACTAGCAGATACCCTGTAAGTAACTGCCTAAGCTTTTTCTTTACATGATTAATGATTTGTAACTTATTTGTTAATGCTGAAGAGCAATGGATTTTTGAATGCTTGACTAGCAGGTACCCATTAGCATTCCCTCCTCAAACAATTATTATGCAATTATTTTAATAACTAGTTCATAAATATGTGAAAAAATAAGAAAATTCAAAGCGAAAATGGTACGATTAGAGTATATCCTGAATGTAACGCTTCGAGAAGTCAAAACGAAACTAAAGGTCAAATAACGACGAGAGTGTACCCTGTAAATGGGCTCTCATCGATTCTGCTGTATTTAATGAGTTATATCTTCATCTTTGACTGAATTCCCCGCCACTAAATCCTGGCCAGCTCCTGCCGAGTCTAACACTACCTCTACATAATCTCTCCGGTCTGAGCTCAGCATTGTCTGAGATGTCTATTCAGCATCTGAATTGGCCTTAGCGCTGGCTCTACGGTGGATCTATATTTATTTGATGAGCTGCTGCCCCATTTCACGGTCACGTCGACTCTGCTCGGCTGCTAAATCACGTCATGCCAAGCAGAGCGCAGAATGTGAGCTAAGAAAGAAAGAAAGAAAGAAAATGTGAAACTTTTTGAGGCAAAGTTGCTGCAAGCAGCAGCAAGTCGCTCTGTGAGGTGGCACGTACAATTCACTTGCAACATTTTTGGCACACATATATATGTATATGTGTGTGTGTGTGTGTGTGTGTGGCCGTTGCAACTATGCAATACAAAATATTACAAGCCGGCTGGAGCTGAGGCAGCGACTCGACAGCAAAGTTGTTGCCTAGCGAATTGTTGCTCTTGTTGTTGTTGCTGCTGTTGCCTTTGATGTTTGGCAGCCTGAATCTGAAAACCCCATCCTTCGCCTCTGCTCCAGCCCTGAAATCGAATTTATTGCATAGTTCTGTGCGTTGCGGCAAGAGCCACAAAACTGTATTTGCCTTTTGTCAGCCAGCTGTGACACTTGCACAAAGTCATTTCACCAGCTACGCTGCACCCAAAAACAACAACAACAACAACAACAACAATTCGCAGTTAGCATGTGTTTGGCGTTTATTAAAACGCCAAGAGTGCCAAATTGTTGAGCATGAAAACTAATTGAAAATTTGCTTCATTTCACTGGGTTTTCCCTCATTCATTCATTGCGCATTTCTTATTTCGCATTATTTTTGTCCTTGCCTTCCTTTTCATCATATTTTTTTCTTATGACATTTTCTTTTTTTGGGCAAATTCCAATTCATTTGCTCTATTGACAGTGTGTCTGCACGCATCGTTTAGAGTCCAAGGTCTTGGCGCTTATAAATAACTAACTTTTTTTTACTCTTATTTATTTTCTTCTTCTATTCCTTTTTTTTTATTTGCTGGCTGTCATCGTGCCGAAAAACTAGGCGAAATATATGCCAAGGTGGCCCAAGTAAATGCCGCTAAAAATCAATAGCAATCGCTTTCGATAGACGAGGCATGTGGCACCCACAGAGCGAGACGGACGAAGAG